CTTCCCTCTGACTGCACATGCAAATAAAAACATATAACATAAAACTCCATCAGGGTGTAAAGGTATGGAGATATTTCACTGTCAGGACTAGCAAATAAACACTGGAGCAATATTTTGTTGTTTAACTGATGAAGCTTCTCCAGTGATGAGATGAAGAGGCTTAACTTCCTGATTCATGTGGAGAAAACCAATCAGAACAGGCCACACCCACTGGGGGAAGACCAGCAACTGTGATGGAGGAAAACACTAAAAATCATGACAAAATGAAGAAAATAGACAAAAGAAACCTTCATGTTCTCTGAACAAACTCTCTGTATCCTAGCATGTCTGATTTGAAAGGAATCTCTTTTCCTTGTTTAGTCCAAATGCCACATTTCTGATTTAATACCATCAAAGCTCCTTTTAAAGCCCAGCAGATGCTTTTGATAGAGAGAGTGAAATAAACTTGCAACGATGAAAACAGAGGAAATTGTTTCTCACAGAGGACAGTTTCAGATTTAATTCTTAGAACAGATGAAATTCAATTTTACATCATCATCTTTCTTGAACCACTGATGTTCTCCTCCCGTCTCCATGGCTCCAGACATGTCACAGTCGTCCATCTGTCCATCTAAAGCCCAGTTCTTATATCTGACCACCTCATCACTGACCCAGAACCAGAAATCCAGAGTGCAGGTGTAACGCAGACCCATCCAGACATAACCAGTCGATGCGTTCTTGACTTTCTCCTGGATCCATCTCTGATCATCCATGTTGGTGATGGTGACCAGGTCATGGTGGTGACCTCTGCAGTAGTACAAGGCGTCCTCCCAGTTCATCGCCTCTTTGATCAGGATCAATTTATCTGTCACAGAATTGATCAACACAAACATTACACAGTCATGGTAAAAAACTAATTTAACAAAAACAACAGTTATGTCTTTGGTCCTAAACCAGACGTGGTAGAGTAAATAAAAAATGTCCTCCAGTAGGAGCAGCACTACTTCAAATGAATTATTGTCAAGTAAAATGAAAAGAAGTTGCCTAAGAAATGACTCAAGAGTAAAAATGTGATAAAAAATATAGTTTAGTACTGAGTAACTGATCATAAGAACTGATTTATAATTTCTAGATGATGTCATGATACTAGCAAAAATATAAAGGTGTGTGCAAATTGTCATATTTTGAAAATAATTGAAATAATCCCAATGTATAAAATAAATTAGAAACAACACATTTCTAAATCAATTTTCCTCAACATACAAACTAATACTTCAACTGTAAGAAATACATAAACAATATGTTACAAATAGGTAAAGTACTTCCAGTGTCCAATTAGGGTTTACAACTACTACTAAAGGTCCTTTTCTCCCCAAAAAACTTATTAAAGTAAATGTGAATGTACTATGTGCCTCTAATACTGATCAAATGTTGATGATTTTGTTTGATGCAATGACATTATCTGTGACATGCAAGAATTAAAACTTAAAACATGAATGAGAAAACTATTCACTGTAATAATTTTTAAATAAACTTATATTTGAACTAACAACTCACCATCATAACAGATGAAGGGTTTTTTATTATCACAGCTCACATTCGTCCATCTGCCTTCACCATCAAACTTAGTCATGGCACATTGACCACTGTTGATTATCTGATCGTTAAAGTTTTTATTCCAGTGTCTGAAAGAGAAACTGCTTCCATCTGACCACCTCCAGGTGTCTCTGAACAGACCAATGTATGAGGAATCACTTGTAGAGTTCATCAATTTCATCACTTCTTCATCCTGTAGCTGCTTCGTTCCACTGATCAGGTCTTTGTGATTCTCTCTACAGTAACTCTGAGCTTCCTGCCAGGACTTCATCTC